GGCATGGCTCTGAGGAAGGCCGCCCCCCTTCTAGAAGCCTCCCACCTGCCTTCCTGGAAGGCTCTCTGCGGCCAGACAAGCTTGAGACGCCTCAGGGCAAGTGGCTGAAAAGCATGCTCGTCTGCACGGTTTCTCCCGGGGCCGTAGGCGACCCGAGGAAGAGAAGGAGGAGGAGGAGGAGGAGGAGGAGGAGGAGGAGAAGGTAGAAGAGGGGGAGGGGGAGGAGGAGATGATGAAGGAAGGGGAGGAGGAGGGGAAGAAGAGGGGGAGGAGGACGAGGAGGAGAGGAGGAGGAGGAGGAGATGAAGGAGGAGGAGGAGGAGGAGATGAAGGAGGAGGAGGACGGGTCGCATAAGCCCTTCGGAGAAACCTTCCATGCTCGTCGTCAAATGGACACAGGACGAGCCAACACATGTTTTCTACTCCTGCGCCTGGGCTCCTCGAGATCGCTGTACAACTCCTGGCCTGCGAGCTACCTCCTCCTCCCTCCTACCTCCTCCTCCTCCTCCTCCTCCTCTCCTCCTCCTCCTCCCCTCCTCCTCCTCCTCCTCCTCTCCTCCTCCCCTCCCCCTCCCCCCTCCCCCTCCCCCTCCCCCCCCTCCCCCTCCCCCCCCTCCCTCCCTCCCCCTCCCTCCCTCCCCTCCCCTCCTCCTCCTCCTCCTCCTCCTCCTCCTCCTCCTTTCCTCCTCCTCCTCCTCCTCCTCCTCCTCCTCCTCCTCCTCCTTCCCCCCTGACCCACGCCGGCGTAGAAAGAAAAGAAAACTTGGCTTCTACTGACCCGGGTCCATGCACACCTGGGTCGGCCAGGCCTTGCAGGATCCTGCGCGATCCTCCAAGATCCTGCAGGACCCTGCGCGCCAACCTGGGCCAATGCGCTCCTGACTCTGCAGGATCCGGCAGGATCTGGCGCTCTGGCCGACCCCCGTCCGCAGTGGCCACCGTCGCCAGGCTCCCAAGAGACGAGCAGGGCCTGTCCTGGCGCCTGGCCGCCCTCGCGGAGCCGGGGCGGCGGAAGCACACGCGGGGCCACGGCGCGCCGCACAGGGGAGGCGGCGGGCGGAGGCGGAGAACGGGGAGAAGAGGAGGAAGCGGCGTGCTAACGCCGAGGGGCCGGGCCTCCAGCCAACCACTCTGGCCTCTGGCAAAGGCTCTCCCCCCCAAGCAACAAAAAAAACAAGAACGAGGTGACCCCCGCGCGAGACCCCGGTGCGGGGAAGGCTTCTGAAGCAGTCGAGCAAGGAGAGCTGTGCTTTGCGCTGCAGTGTTGTGCTGGGTATTGCTTTGCGTTGATTTGCTTGCTTGGCGTTGCGTTGCTTTGCTTTGCTTTGCTTTGCTGTGCATCGCTTTGCTTCGCTTGGCATTGCTTTGCATTGGGCCGCTTGGCATTAGTTTGCTCTGCCTTGCATTGCATTGCTTGGCATTGCTTGGTACTGCTGTCTGCCATTGCTTGACAATGCTTGGCATTGCTTGGCATTGCTTGGCTGTGCGTTGCACTGTTTGGCATTGCTCGGCGTTGCTTGGCAGGGCTGGGCATTGTTTGGCATTGCTCGGTGTTGCTTTGCTTTGCTTGTCTGTGTATATAATGTATGCATATATGTGCATATATGTGTATGTGTAGATGTACATATATATGTATGTGAATATACACATGAGAGAGAACGCGTTTCGTGGACGCCTGCTTGGGAAAGATCCCTGGACACGTCGGAACTGGGGGGGGGGCCTGAAGCATTTGAAGCGCCCAGGGGATCAGAGAGGGGGGGGGGCCTGTCAAAGAGGGCTGCTCCCTGGGTGGCTGCGAACTGCGCCATTGTCGCCACTTTCGTGGGCTCCTGGGAGGTCCAGCGGAGTCGGGGGCCACACAGATCCAGCCGAGACCTCGCGGCTCCCTGGGAAGCTACGAGCTGCGCAACAGTCGCCACGATCGCAGGCTCCTGGGAGGCACGGCGGAGATGAGGGCAACGCTGATCGTGCATATCTGGCGATGTGTTCTTCTGTATGGAGCGTTCATGCGAGTATTCGCCTCGCGTCGAGAAGGGGTTGGGTACGTCTCGGGTGGTTGCTTAAGTTCACGGCAAAGAACCTTCTTTTGAGGTACTTCAGAGCTGCTTTAATTGATGCCCGCTCACCCCATGCCTGCATTACCTCGGACATCACAAGGCCAGGAGAATAGCCCTCTCCTCTTCCATCGCGAGGCCGCGCCTGTCTTCCACGAAGCAGAGCGTCACGAGGAAGCCGACGGCGGCGCACGCCGCGCACATGTGGAAGGCCACGGAGTTCCCGTACGAGTCCGACACTGGCTTGAAGCACGAGGCGCCCAGGACGGCGCCCAGCTTTCCCGAGGCGGCGCAGAGGCCGTTGAGGGAGCTGCGAACCTCACGAGGAAACGTCTCGGAGGGCAGGATGAAGGTGGTGTTGTTGGGCCCGAAGTTGCCGAAGAAGTACGTGAGGCCGTAGAGAGCCACGAGGAGCCCAGCGCTGTCCTGGAGGTCATCTACGAAGATCCCGAGGCTGGCATACAACACCGCCATGGCGACGAACCCCTGCATCTGGATGTCAAGACGAAGCCAAGACGAGGATGGATTTCGGGGGGGATACATCGAGAATCTGGGAGATCCGGCGGCTCCGGAGGATGTATCAAGCGTCGCGGCCTTTCCAGAGCGCTCTGGAACGCTCTGGAAGCATTCCGGAACGCTCTGGAACGAATTCATCCTCGTCCTCACCCCGTCAGAAATGTTCTTGCGCCCAATGCTGTCCATGAAATAAACAGAAACATAGTAGCCCGGCAAACCGATCAGGGCAAGTATCGTTAGCTGCAGGCAGAGGTTATTCGGCAGCCCGTCTCCGATGACGGGCGTCAGCCCTCCGCTCGTGTGGAACACGTTCTTCAGAACAGTCGGGGCAAAGAGGGTATTGCCGTAGAACGTGATGTCAAAAAGGAACCAGCCACCAGCACATCCGATGATCTTCGGCCAATACAAAGACGAAGCCAGGACGAGGATAAATTCGGGTGAGGATAAGTCGAGAATCTCTGACATCCGGCGGTTCTGGAGGACGTATCGGTCGCCGAGGCCTTCTCAGAGCGTTCCGAAAGGCTCTGGAACGGATCTATCCTTCCTAGCCCCGTCCGAGATACCTCCGATTGCCAAACACTCGCGCGACGGTGATTTGCGGTTTGAGATCCTCTGGGCTCTGCACTGCATGCAGCCGGTCCTCCGACTCCGGAGGCACCGTCTTGAACGGTATCAGAAGGATTCCTGGCAGTGCCCCTACACCCAGCATGAGCCGCCAGGAGATGTCTGGCACTGGCAAGTCCTCTGTCCTGCGGTGCTCGTACGTGCCAAAACCGTACAAAAATGCCATTCCCACGAGTGGAACCAGCAGGGTACCGACGCCCTGCATCGAGAACACTAGAGCCGTCGTTCGGCCCCGGCTCGCGGCCTCGGAACTCTCTGCCGCGATGGTGGCCGCCAAAGGGTACACGCCACCGACGCCCACGCCAAGCACGAGGCGACTGAGGCTGAGAAAGGTGAACACGCTGCTCCGGGCATCGCCCACAGGCACCGCAAAGGCAGACACCAGGGCGCCGAGGATAGTCAGCGCCATCGTCAGGCTCAGCGCCCGAGAGCGCCCGATGCAGTCGCCGACGTAGCCGAAGGCGAGCTGTCCCAGGATGGACCCCACGAGGCAGGCGGTGCTCGCAGCTGTGACCTGCGACTTGCAGTTGTCGCCACCGCAGTACTCATTCTCCAAGAGAACGTGGGCGAGGTTGATGCTCACGAGATTGTAGGCCGTGGAGAGGTTGCTGCAAGCCGAGATCACAGTGTTCCGCGACCGCCTTCTCGACACAGCACGCGCTTCGGAGCTCTCCGCCAGGCTCAGGCCCACCGCCATGATCGAGGCGAGCCGCTGGCCACATGCACGAAACCAAACTTGATCCAAAATGTCTACGGACGGCATCGCTTGGCATTGCTTAGCTTTGCTTGGCATTGCTTGGCATTGCTTGGCGTTGCTTGGCGCTGCGTGGCGCTGCTTGGCAATGTTTGGCGTTGCTTAGCGTTGCATTGCACGGCTTGGCACTGCTTGGCGTCGTTTGGTACTGCTTGGCGTTGCTTGGATTTGCGCTGCATTGTTTGGCATTGCTCGGCACTGCTTGGCATTGCTTGGCACTGCTAGGAAAACAAGACCAAGGAACCCAGACACAGCCTCCTAAAAACAGTAGGGGAACCATAGACCAAGGAACCTGGGCAGAGCGACTTCAAAGACGGTAAGGAAACATGAGCAAGGAGCCTGGGCAAGGATTCTTCAAAAACGGTAAAGAAACAAGATCCAAGAGCCTGCGCAAGACTGGCACCTACCGGCTATCCAAGAGCAAGTCATAATCCCTTAGACAAGCCTAGTGAGGTAAAGCTGCTGTGCCCGTCGGCAGCCGCAGCCGTCCACGCCAGACGAACGTGCTGAATGCCCTCGTCGTCTTTAAATATCATGTTGGGGCGCACGGCGTTACCGAGCTCAGATCGCCGGCCAACAGGAAGGAGGAGAAGGGAAGGAAGAAGGGAGCGGGGAGGGGAGGGGTAACGGGGAGGGCGGAGGAGGAGAGACGAGGACGCGAGGAGTACAAGGAGAGCATGCCGCTGTTCCTCCTCCTCCTCCTCCTGCTCCTCCTCCTCCTCCTCCTCCTCCTCCTCCGCCTCATCCTCCTCCCAAAAAGTTACCTGCAACTGGGGCTGACAACTTTCAGCACAGAATGGAGAGCCAGAGAGAGAGAGAGAGAGAGACAGAGAGACTGAGACAGGCAGACAAAAGAGACAACACACACTGACAGACGGAAAGAGAAAGAGAGAGAGAGAGAGACGGAGATAACAAAAAAACAGAGAGATAATCAGAGAGAGAGAGGGAGGCAGGCAGACAGGCAGGCAGACAGACAAACGGACAGACAGACAGGCAGACAGACAAAGAAACAGAGAGCCACACACACACACACAGCGGAAAGCTGCTCGCGCCTTGCGGTTCTCCTCCTGGGGGGGAGTGGGGGGGCCCTCCGCTCCAGCCACAGCGCTACCCTCGCACGTATCCGCTTCTCGTGCCTCGGCCCCCGACGCACCGCTGCCCCTGCTCCTGCTCCTGCTCCTGCTCCTCCTCCCCCTCCTCCTCCTCCTCCTCCTCCGCATCATGCTCCACCTCCTCCTCCTCCTCCTCCTCCTCCTCATTGTCCTCCTCCTCCTCCTCCTCCTCCTCCTCCTCATCCTCCTCCTCCGCCTCCTCCTCCTCCTCCTCCTCCTCGTCCGCCTTCTCCTCCTCCCCCTCCCCCTCTCCCTCACCCTGCCCGTCCTCCTAGCCATCCACACCCCCACACCACACCGCCGCATCCTTCCCCACACGGCACCCTTCTGTCCACGGCCGCCCCCGCGTCGTTCCCTCCTCGTGGTGGACGTCCGACTCCCCGTGCCCGCCTCCTAGGGTTGCTGCCGCCACTATCTCCCCCCCCTACCTCTTTTTCCCTGTCCTCTCCCTCCCCCCCATCTCCCCCCCGCACCCTTGCACTTGGAGGGGGCTGTGCACCCCTGAGGAAACGCCCCAGGCGCACACCCTGAGCATGGCCAGGGGGGCCCGGCGCAGATCCGAGAAATCCGCACGGACCGTCAAACAGTGCATGTTTATGAGGAGTGTCCTTTCTTCGGGCACCAATGCCTCCCGACTGCCTACCCGAAGACCCGAAGACCCGAATTTCGGGTTGGGGGGGGCACGGGTTCCGCATGTGTTTGTTCAATGTTCCCGGACCCCCCCCTGACTGGAAATGGAGTGCTAACTCTTCCTTCAAGTTGGGTTGGGGTGGGTTGGTGGGTGGTGACTTTCATGCAGGAGCATGGGGGAAGAGGGCTGAATAAAAAGGGGCGCAACCTGGCGGCATGATTTGGAGGGGGACGACGACAAGGAGGCGGACAGGCGGACCTCGTGCGCAACAGAGCGCAGCGCTGGACATTGCAAATTTCCTCTCGCAGGAAAGGCCAAGAGGCAGCCTTCATTTCTCAGAGAATATTTGAAGCCACCGTGCCTCAGGTGAGAAACCAATACACGGTCCAACTAAAAGCACGACGCTGGCATCCATAAGCCAACCGACGTCTAACAGGCGTAATCCTCCTCCGTCGCGCCCTCCTGCGCTTCATCATCATAATCATTAGCATCATCATAATCATCATCAGCATCAGCATCAGCATCATCATCATCATCATCAGCAGCATCATCATCAGCAGCATCAGCATCATCATTATCATCATCATAATCATCATCATCATCAGATTCATCATCATCATCATAGTCAGCATCATCATCATCATCATCATCATCATCATCATCATCATCATCATCATCATCATCGTCATCAGCATCAGCATCATCAACATCAGCATCATCAGCATCACCATCATCATCATCCGCAGCATCATCACCATCATCAGCAGCATCATCCTCATCATGATAAGCAGCATCATTATCAGCAGCATCATCATCGTCAGCATCGTCATCATCGCCATCATCATAGGCAGCATCATCATCCGTATCATCATCACCATCAGCATCAACAACAACAGCATCAGCACCAGCACCAGCACCATCATCAGCATCATCAGCATAAGCATCAGCAGCATCATCAGCATCATCGTCAGCATCGTCATCATCACCATCAGCATCGTCAGCAGCATCAGTATCATCTTCATCATCGTCACATCCTCATCATCACATTATCTTCACCACTACCAACATCACCATCGTCATCATACGTGTCACAATAATAATCATCATCATCATCATCATCATCATCAGTATCAGCATCACCATTATCGTCATCATTGTCAGCATTATCATCAACAGCATCACCATCAGCATCCTCATAATCATCATCCGCAGCAGCATCATCACCATCACCATCAGCAGCAGCTAATAATCATCAACAGCATAAGCAGCAGCCTCATCAGCATCATCAGCATAATCATCAGCATCAATAGCATCATCAGCATCATCAGCATCATCATCACCATCATAATCGCCATCATAATCATCAGTATCATCGTCGGCAGCATCATAACCATAGCAAATCAACCTCATCATAATCGTACTCATCCCCGCCTCCTCATCCTCCTCCTCCGTCTTGTCCTCCTCCTCCTCCTCCTCCTCCTCTTCCTCCTCCTCCTTGCGATCATCATCAGTCAGCAGAAGCATCATCACAACCCTGGGAAGTATTACTATCATCACAACCCCCTCTTCCTCCCCAGTATCCCCTCGACTCTCGTCCTCTGCAGCCTGGAGGCCGCACACAGCGGGCTGCCGAAGCAGCACACGCTCGGCTATCTCACTCGCCTCTGTTTTTCAGCCCCCCCTCCTCGCGAGCAGGCAGGAGCCCCGCACACGTAGGACACGAGTCTCCGCTCCGCCAGCGGGCCCCACACGAGGCCCCCAAAACAGAGCTCAAGCTGATGGGACTGGTTTCCACCACCACCACCACCATAAGTTTCAGGGGGGAAGGGGGTGGAGGACGAGGAAGAGGAGGAGGACGAAGAGGAGGAGGAGGTGGTGGTGGAGGAGGAGGAGGAGCAGGAGGCTCGCAATTACGAACCAGTTTCACGGGCCCCCTGGAAACCACGCCTGCCTCATCGCAAACTGGCGCGGCGCACATGCGCCGGCGCAATTGCGCACGTAGTCTCCCAAAAACTCCTGCGCCTCACCAAGACCTCCCTGCTGCAGACCAACAAAGGGGGGGGGGACGGCAAGGGAAACGGCGACGGCGACGACGACGACGACGACGAAGACGACAACGAATACGACGGCGACGGCGACGGCGACGACGACGACGCCTGAGACTTCGGCAGCAGAGGCGGCGGCAACGGCGGTAGCCGCAACGGTGACGGCGGCAACGCCACCAAGCCGCGTTGACGACGACGACGACGACGACGACGACGACGACGACGACGACGACGACGACGACGGGCAACGCCAGCCGCAACGACGACGACAGCCGCCAGGGAGTACGCACGCAACGCTTCCCCACGGCGAAACCCTGAACGGGTTGGCCCGCACGCCCGCGCTCTGGCCCTGGCGGCTCCGCCTCGGGCTCTCCGAGCGGCTGGAGCTGGAGCTCTGGGCAGGGCGCCGGCGACGGCTGCTGGGGCCAGCAGCAGCAGGCGGGGGGGGCGGCGACAGCGCCCCGCGCCAGCGCCAGCGGCGCGCCGAGCGCGCTGGGCGGCGGGGCGGGGGGGTGCGCGGCAGCAGCGCCGCTGCGGGCCTGGCGCCGGCTGGGACTGGCATGGTCCAGGCGGCCGTGGCGGCCAGAAGGTGCTCACGAATCTCGGGGGTGCCAGAGTTAGTCAGCTTCCCAAGATTGCTGCCCCCGCCTCCGCCCGTCAGGGAGCGGATCGGTACGCCACGCCAGTCCTCACCCCGCTCGTCCCGTAGAGTTGTGGATGCCACGACAATGGACACACTAACAGTCCTATCATTGAATTTGACATGTGTTCAAAATGTCGGGAAAATGGTCTAAACATGATCTAAGCATGTGCTTGACATGTTTAAAACATGTGCAACACATGCTTTAGACATCTGGAAATGATTTGGCAACATGCTTCCTCTCCGTTGATCGTCCTCCACAACCGGAGGAGGAGGAGGAGGAGGAGGAGGAGGAGGAGGAGGAGGAGGAGGAGGCGGAGGCGGAGGCGGAGGCGGAGGCGGAGGCGGAGGCGGAGGCGGAGGAGGAGGAGGAGGAGGAGGAGGAGCCACGCGGCCTGGCGCCTGTCAGTGCAGACAGGGGATCCCACAGGGTGGGCCGCCGCCAGCTGTCCTCCCCGCTGAGGGCCCTGCCGTCGGCGGCGGGCGTGCGGGGTCCTGCCCGAAGCGCTCGCTGCCGCCACCCCTGGAGGCCAAGGGCGAGCTCGAAGGCGAGCCCGTGCGAGACTGGGCCTGCGCCCACGGCGCACACCCGCTTGCGGCAGGGGGCAGCGGCAACGGCCCCGTGGCAGCGCGCAAGTGCAGCGGGCACTGCCGCAGGAAGCGCTCCAGCGGCGAGCCCTGAAAGCGAATCACCCTCCTCCTCGTCCTCCTCATATCCTCCTCCTCCCCATCCCCCTCCCCCCCTCCTCCTCCTCCTCCTTCTCCTCCTCCTCCTCCTCCTCCTCCGCCTCCTATTCCTCCTCCGTCGCCACCGTTTCTCGCACACACACACACACACACCTCGTCGCGAACAGGGACGAGCCCCGTGAGCGGAGGGCACCAGACTCCGCTCCGCTGGCGAGCCCTACCCCCGCCGCCCATCGATTCTCCCGAATCGATGGGAGGCGGGGGTCGTGTTCGGATTTCGCCTCTGGGTCGACGACAAAAAAAAAAAAAAAACTGCACGGGACGCGTTTCCCCGTTTTCGGCCGGCGGCCCATGCAAGGCCCCGCAGACGTCCAAAAAACGGGTCGACGCGGGATGAAAAACCAGTCCCGGGGAAAGGGTCGGGACTTCCCGGGACCCCGAACTGAAAAGAAGCGACATCACATCGTATGTCTGGGAGCCCCGCCGCCCATCGAGTTGCCTGAATCGTTAGGGTGATCTGGGTTCCTTAATAAGCGTGGGGGGGGGTACCCCCCCGACGGGGGTCAACCTCGCCTCGTCGTCGCGCCGCGACAGGGGTCGGAGCGCCTTCGGTGCGCGGTGGCTGCCCGCGGCGGGGGTCGATGTGGGGCTGTCGGCGGGGGTGACGCCCCCCCGACGCTTATGAAGAAACTCGGAGTAAGGTGGGAAAGCGAAAACCCACCCCCATTCCCAGTCCCGACCCCACTCCAGAACCCGCGACCCAGGGGGTCGGGACTAGGGCTTGCGGTGGGATTTTGGGGCCAAAGAATGGAGAAAGCCCACCCCCACCCCCAGTCCCGACCCCTCGAATCGCCCGCTCGGGGATGGAAGTCGGGAGTGGGGGTGGGGGCGACTTCTCGCCTTCTGATAGGGTTCGGACCTCGCCGCCGAGCGGGCGGCCGCGTCGCCAGCGGACAGCTTCTCCAAAGATCCGACGTCGTGATTTTTGTTTCAATGCGCGGTCCCCCGAAGTATCGACCCCTTCCCCAGGACCGGTGTTTCATCCTGAGTCGTTTTGTTGACGGTCCCGGGGCAAAGCGAGGGCCCCTGGAGGCCGAAAGTCGAGCAGGACCTCCGTCTTGGTTTTGTCAATGCGTTGGAGGTCTGGGGCCATGATTTGCACCCCCCCCGCTCTCGGACTCCCCCCGCTTGCAGCGGTCGTCCCCCGATTCTTGGTCTCCCCGCTCGGGTTTTTTTTCAATGCGTTGGAGGTCTGGGGCTCTCGCATGCGGAAGCCCGTGGCCAGCCGGGCCCGACGGGCGGGCCGGGTGGGTCGGCAGGCCGGGCTCCGACGGGCGGGCCGGGCGGGCGGACCCCCGAGGGGCGGGCGGGGCCCCGAGCGGGGAGAGCAAGAATCGGGGGACGACCGCTGCAAGCGGGGGGAGTCCGAGCGGGGGGGGGTGCAAATCATGGCCCCAGAGATCCAACGCATTGAAAAACCAAGACGGAGGTTGTTCCCGATTTTCGGCCTCCAGGGGCCCTCGCCGGGCCCCGGGACCGTCAAAAACCGACTCAGGATGAAAAACCGGTCCTGGGGAAGGGGTCGAGACTTCGGGGGACCGCGCATTGAAAAAATCACGACGTCGGATCTCTTGGGAGGGGGGGGGCGCAAATCATGGCTGGCGGCACGTGCGCGACCCAGGGGAGGGCCCAGGGACGTAATGAGGGTACCAGGGAATCTGGGGAGATCTCATGGCCCCCGCCATGATATCCACTCCCCCCTGGTCCTCACCCCCCTCTTCGCCGCCCCTGATACTCCCCGGACCCCTCCCGGGGTGCGCCCTGACCGGGACTTCGGAGCGAATCCGGCGGTGGCGACGAGGGCACACCAGGAGACCCCAAAAAGGCGAAAAAGGAGGCCAGGGTAGCGGTGTGGGTACCTCTTCCCAGACCTCCGACGCGATATGTTCTTCGTCGCGTCGGCCCTGGAGTTCTCGACCCATTCCCAGGGGCCGTCTTCTCATCCCGAGTAGTTTTTGCACGGCCCCGAGGCCCAGTGCGGGCCCGCAAAGGTCCCAAATAGCGAAAGACCTCCCGGCGTGATTTTTGCACGACTAACAATCCTACCATTGAATTAAACATGTACTTAAAATGTGTAGGTATGAAACGTTTCAAGCATGACTCTAACACATTTGAAACATAGTTGAAACATCTTTTGCACATCTGGAAATTATTTGGCAGCATGATTCCTCTCCATAAATCGACTTCCACAACCCAAGGGGGTCTGGGTCCCCCCTCCGACCACAGCGGGCGGGTGGGACGGCCGGCGAGCGGCGAGGCCGACAGACCCCAGCGGGCGGGCGGACCGGGACGGGCGGCGGGCGGGGCGGAGCGGTCCGCGGGCGAGGCGGCTCTGCTGGCCACCGACCACCACGACCGGACCCGGGTCCAAATTTCGGGATGGGGGTGGAGGAGGAGAAGGAGGAAGGAGGACGAGGAGGAGGACGAGGAGGAGGAGGACGAGGAGGAGGAGGACGAGGACAAGGAGGAGGAGGAGGACGACGAGGAGGACGAGGAGGAGGAGGAGGAGGAGGAGGAGGACAAGGAGAAGGACGAGGAGGAGGAGGAGGAGGAGGAGGACGAGGAGGAGGAGGAGCAGGAGCGACGGCGAGGGGGTTCTTGCATTTGGATGCTCTCGCGCCCAATGCTGCCCATGAAGTAGACAGAAACTGACTCGAACCGCCAGACCACCCCAAGCCAGCCCGAAGACCCAAATATTTCGGGCTGGTGGACCCAAAGTTCGGGTTGGGGGGGAAGAATTCCACACGTGTTTTTTGCAATGTTCCCCGACGCCCCCCCCCCCTGGGCACGGAGGGACGATTCGGGCCTTCGGGTTGGGTCGGGGTGGCTTGGTTAATGGGCCCGTTTTCCACCACCACTATCATAGGTAGGAAATGGAGGAGGAGGCGGAGGACGAGGAGGAGGAAGAGGAGGAGGAAGAGGACCTCCTCATCCTACCTTCTCCCCCGTCATACATATGGTAGTGGTGGTGGAAAATTTGCCCATCATTGGTGGGTCGTGATGCACAGCGCTAGGGGAGAGGCAGCGTGCGGGCGGCGCCCATCCTCCTTCTGGAGCAGCAGCGGCTGAACCGTGACCTTCCACAGCTT